AAAAAAAAAAAAGAGGAGAAAGAAGCTATAACACCAAGAAAACATGAAGTGCTTATTCCGTTAACACATTTTATCAGAGAAGATGTATTTGGAGTGAGGGCTGTGAGACTCACCATGGCTGAAGCTCGATCTGTGACAGACAGGAGGGGAGGGGGGATGAGACGGAGGCTGTAGAAGTAAGAGAAGAAAGAAAATATAAAGGAGCTTAGGATGATAAACCCTAGCTCGCGATCTTAGCAGAGAACGATCGACGGCTGAGATTTGTCTTCGCTAGGGGCTTTGTTTAGAGTATAAATGGGTCCGTTAATGGTTTTTCTTTTGAGCCCATGGGCTGCGCTCGCTTAGGACTGAATATTTCGAAATTCGAACTCGTCTCATTTTTCAGTCCAGTGCAACCTTGTTGGGCAGGTAAGCAAATCCAGTTCAACCCACTAATGGGTATCATTTTCAAAGGTGACTTCTAGTTTTTTCTTTTCTTTTTTCACAGCCCAGGCCTGAAAAGCTTAGTGGTTGGTGCAACTGTAGCCCATGGCCTTTTTCTATGCCATTATTTAAAAAGCAAAAATTATGTTGGGTTGACTATATTTGTAGTTTTATAAATTTTACAACTTAAAAAAAAAATTTATTTTCATTTTTTTAACATATTATCATAATTACTAAAAAATTTAAAACAAAAATAATTTTAATACTGTTAAATAAATTTATATTTTTTTGTTACCAGTGGAAAAACTCACCTTAAATAAATTATATGTTTTTAATTTTCATTAGTCGTAAAATTTTTAAAAACTAACATTAGGGATTAAAAATCACAGCCATACTAATACCAAATAGAACATAAAGAAATTAATAAACTTAAATTTGTGAAAAAAAATTCTTGATTATAAAGATTAAAGATTTCTCAATCAAAATTTTAAGGAGCAATCTTTCATCAAGATTTATCAATCAAAATGTTAAGGCGTACGCACTTACAGCGTTAGCCACACGATGGAAGTGTACTAATAACTTTGATTTTTTTATTAAAAGTTTTAAATTCAAAGTCCTTCGTACTATATATCTAATAAGAAATTAAACACTCAAGAAGCTGCAAAATTGCCCAAAAATTTAAATAACAAGTGAAAGGTTCAAGAAAAACTGGAGGCAACGAAAAACAAGTTCAAGATTTATGCTTTAATGCTACTTTCAATCTTCATCTTCATCTTCATCTTCCTCATCATCAACATCGGCAGCTGAGTTCAGTGTGCGCAATCGTTCAATCAATTTAGCCTTTCTCTCCTCATAAGTGAGTTTCTTCAAGTTGTACCTGTTTGGGAAATGCAAACAAGGTTGAAATATTTGTCATCCATAAACTGGCCAAGGATTAACAACACTAAAAGATTCAACATCTACAAATCATTAGACAAAAAATGATGCACAACAGTATTAGCATGTTAATCAGGAGAACCAAGCATCAATTGGTCTTGGGTCATACCTCTTGTGCTCCTTAGGAGCCTCCTTCTCAGACTTCTTAACAGTTGGGTCAGCACGTATGGCAGCATGCACTTTTTTGTACATTGCCTCCAGGTCATCAGCCTCGATTTCTCTTTTGACATACTCACTGAAGTGAGACTGATACTTCTCTGGCTCATCTTCCATCAAAGTCTGGAAAAATTTTATATAAACAAGTTGCAATAAAGTAGAGAGATGTCGGTGCAATTGGAATAAAGATGACAAGCTCATATCCTTGAGAAATAAAATCCAGACAATAGATTTGCGTCTTTACCCTCATATATGCCGCCACATGACCACCATAGATGTACTTGTGGTGAACCTCAGCATCAAGCCGTTTGCTTTCTTTCCCAAAGCCAGCGAACCTCTTGTCACTGTGAGGAATATCCAATCCACCATCCAAGGCACCCTATGATCTCCAAAAATAAATCATTTTCTGACTTAAATGTTTACTAAAACAGTTCAAAGCAGCACCTATAGTAAGGCATAAAACAGATTATGAATGCATTTCAAAGTGAATACCTTAAGTGCACCAAAAACCCTGTTTCCAGTAGTTGTCTTGATCAGCCCAACATCAAGGAGTGCACGGAATGGCCTCCTGTTTTCAGTTGGCTCAACTGAGAAATCCTCCCCACTAGCCTGCCATCACAAACCCTTATATTAGAAAGATAATTCAGTGAAAATAACAA